CATATACATATACATATACATAACAAGACATACATATATACACACGAATATATATATATATATGCATATATATATATATATATATATATATATTTCTTAAACCCTAAAACCCTACAATGATATTCTCCAGCCTTACACCTGCCCTTCGGTTATCTGTACCCCCTTTCACACGCACGCACGCACGCAGACTGGTAGAACGCTTGCTACACATACCGATAGAGTCGCCTCCGGATATGGCATCGTTCTCCATTGACGAGGGCTTGTCGTTTGGGACCATTGAGGAACTGCTTCAGTACTATCACCACAACAACCTCAGCTCATCCGTACCACTACCGCTCAAGGCTCCTGTAGGCGAGCCTAAGATCGCCTTGCGCGCTGGGGAAGAGGCGGAGGTTGATGGGTATCTGGTGATGGCACGTAGCTGATAGGCATATCTAGTTGCATACGACGTACGTATGCACATGGATATATACACATATACACGCATATATTCGATAAGCCACATGACTTACTTATACACACGAATATATACACTCATACACGCATGTATGCGATATGCACGCATATACCAAAGCACACCCTATACCTACCCCCACAGTATCCCCAGTGCATCTGTTCCTGTGCTGCTGTTGGCGTCTGTCGGCCATTCTCAGACCAGTTTTTCTGGTAGAAGATGCGATAGAGATTGACGGGTACACATCTGGTAATGGCGCGTCGTTATCCGAATCAGTTGGTAGGTACATTTTATACGAACTAGTACGCGGGATGAACACACTTGCATAGGTGTCTATCTACATTCACATATACACATATCAACATAATACCATGCATGACCTTTACAGAACGATCGCCCGATTAAATAGTTAGAAGTCAACAACGAGATAAGAACGGTGTAGCTGTGCTTGATGACAGTGAAGCAGACCCCTATGCGCCTGGGTGACTACAGAGCTATAGTGTACTGTACCACACAGTAATCGGTAGAATAACGGGCAGGCGTGCACATGTGAATGACAACACACATACATATGCACGTACCATCATGACCCACATACTCCCCACCACTCGACAGGGAATATAGACTACCAGGAACAACTGGTGCGACTGCGTCTGGTCTCTGTGAAGAAGACCATATGTATCTGTTGGACAGCAGATATATACTATACTATAATATACTATACTGTACTATACTATACTATACTATACTGTATTAAACTATACTTTACTCTACTATATTATACTATAGTATACTATAGAATATTATTATACTATACTATACTATGCTAAACTACACTACACTACACTATACTATACTATATTATACCATACTATACTATAAACACTACTATGTTTAGCTATGCTATGCTACGTTGTATACACGGTCATCTGTGGGATATGATTGGTAGTTGTCATTTAAGCGCTAATCGGCAACATTGGCTAGAAGGGCCGGGCGATGTATGTGCGAGACCTCGACAACAGAGCTACATATACTCTATGACCTTGCAATCAGTGAAAAAGGACCGATATGAACCCAACATCAAGACCATTAGCGCTATACTGCAGCCTGGCGTAGAATTTCAAGTGGGTGGATTTGAGTCTGTCCCGCCGAAGAGCTATACTATACTCCACTGCACCGTGATCTGGGGGATAGGACCGGTAGGAACCAAATTCAGGGCACTCAGGTGTAGACTTGGAAGCTGATGGGCGTACGACTGTTTGACTGAAGAATCTATACCATACCCCGCCGCACCGTGATCTGTGAGTCCGGACCGGTTTGGCCCAGCTATAGTGATGCCGGCTCTATTCTACCAGCTAGGCTAAAAGAGGCTAGAGGGGCAGGCTGACGTATGTCGAACAGTCACCGCACACACTTAGTCCGGCGTGGTGGCTATGCATAGACGATTCTCCCGCCAGTTTTAGTCACGTAGGTATAGTAGATCACAGCTGTGCGGAGTATGGTATGGTGTGGTTTCCCGGTATTGTCGACTGCATCGGGAACTGTACTAACAAACAAACATGAAAACTATATTAAAGGAGACTTAATGCAAAAGTACCAAAATACTACTTGAAAGTACCAAACCGTGGCGGATTTTATGTGGAAGTCTACGCATCCGTAAACGGATATGGACTGCGAAGTGTTCACATGCGGAAGCGGCTAAATGGGCATGTGTCAATATGTTAACTTTTAAAATATATATTCTCTAATGTGTGTACATCCATGGGATCTTTGAAATACACGCACACAATTGAATTCCTATAAACATCAACTATAGCCTCTACTTGCAGCCCCCAACCAGCCAAGGTGTTTTCTGTGTTGTGTTGCCTCTGGTCACTTCTAAACTCTGATTTTATTACTCTCGTGTTAGTTTGACCTTCTGTAATTCCAAGGTGTTCCCTGTGTTATATATTACCACTGATCACTGATCTCTTCTAAACTCTACACAACCGTTTCAACGTTTTACTATCGTGTCAGTTTGAGATTCGTGCAGAAAGAAAACTCCCAGATGTCAACAGCCACCGATAAGCTTTATTTCTGTGAGTTGTCCGTATACACTCTACTTGTATGCAACTACCTCCGGTACTTATTCTGTTCTACCAAAGAGTATGGCCTCAGGGAATTTGGTCGATGCCCGTACTTGCGCTCGCATGTGCGTGAGAGAACAAGCATACGGAAAGAGGGACAGGGGCGGGGTTAAGATCCTGGAAGGGTCCAAACCTTAATAATATCACCCACCTCGCTGAGAATCTGCATGAGTATAAGTACAAGTATATGTATAAACACACACGCACACACACACACACACATATATATATATTTATATACGCACCGGCTACCAAGTTCATTTTCAGCTATGCAATGCAGTCTGCATTCAACAGATGTTATGACTGACAGTATCATTTAAACACACGTCTGCCCAAGTTTGCAAAACTCCCTAAGTGTTTGGTCGTATTCTTATTGTTTATTGGCAATATACAAAAGTTCGAGAAAGATGCTTCTGCTGGCGGCCATAACTCTACAAATAAAAGAAAGAAATATACATATTTATAGTCTTCAAAACTCACATTCAATAAAGTACCGGGAAACATTCATATAAAAGACAATTGACCGCTGAACCACATCAGTAGAACTTGCGGGTATATTGGACTTGTAAGCTTAATTACTGTAGAAATATTTATTCTACCCGTATACAATTCAGAAGAAAGGTTATATACGTAGATACATAGACATAGACCTAGACATACATATATATGTATATATTTACACATATATAAATATAAATATATATATATACATATACATATATGTATCTATATATATATATACACATAAATAATAAATACAAATACAAATACAAATACAAATATATATATATATATACATATACATATATACATATATATAAATAATGGATCACTATTTAATTGAGCGGACTCCAATAAGCTGCTCGAAAATATACCTTCTTGAAAGTCCAGAATGCTCATAAAACTAGATACGGTTGATTTGGATAGGCAACTATACACGTGCACACCTAATACTAACGAAGCTTCGTTAATACCCGCTGGCAGTAGTAGTATGTTAGACTCACTGACGCTAATTAGGATTACGGGCCATGTCGGCAATAGCTATGATGAATAATGATGCACAAATAACTAGAATTAAACTTTTCCAGACATTGCAGATTTTGAGACCAACTCGGTGCAAGTGGGAGACCTGTTCGTAGACATCCACAATACCACACAGATCTCTGTCAGAATATTATACTTAGAAAGCACTGGAAACAACATCCAGTTTTACAGTTAAGGGGAAAAGAAAAAAACAGGTAAATCCTTCTCGAATCGTCCAGTTGTACTCTACTATTTAGAGATGACTCATCTGTGCGTATGCGTACCACAAACTATTATACAGAATTGACTCATAATGTATGCATATTGCATATATATTAGTATATATATATATATATATATATATATATATATATATATATATATATATATATATATATATATATATATATATATATATATATATATACTATATAGAGATGACTCATCTGTATGTAAGCATATTACGTTACGTTGCTGTACGACCATATGAAAATGACTCACATGTATGTGTGCATATTGCATATGTATGTGTGCATATTGCATATGTATGCTATGTATGATTATTGAATACTTCAACTTAAAGATGACTTTAAAGATGACTCATCAGTATGTATGCGCATTGCGGCTTGCGCTACGTCGCCGTATGAAAATTACTCCTCTGTCTATCTGTAATTCTGTATGTATGCATATTGCGGAAAGATATGTATGCAGATTGCATACTACTGCATAAAAATGACTCATCTACTATAAGATCACACATGTATACATACATATTCAATATAAATATAAATAAAGTATAGAATCGACCATAGCCTTCTAAGAACACAAGGCTATAAAATGACTCATCTAAGACTGTATGTTTACATATTGTACTATATATAAGGATTGTGGACTCGAAAAAAAGCACCTAGCAACGGCCGTAACGAAGGCCACCACGAATCGTCGAAAATCAGAAATCTCAATATAATCGGAAGTTCGGCGCACCTGAGTGTCAGAAGATCACTCAGCGGATATGAGATATGAGAAAGATTCTCAGACAGGATTTGTTTATTAGTATGGATTAGTTTCACATAAATAGTTGTGTATACATCTCCATTTCTCCATATTCGCAAATGCATTAATTTCAGTTTATAAAAATTAGTTTCAGTCCTTGATTTTGAGCTTTTCTGGGCAATTTGGAACTGGAGCCTCGACAGCGATGAATAGTTTACCTTTTATCTTATACTTCTTTCTGATTGGGTCTTATATTCTATAATTAGATTGAATCGGGCAGCAGCAAATAGCAATTTACGTATTCATTCAGAGAAAATTGGGAGTACCGAAATTACACCAACCGTGTACCTCCTAGGTGTAAACAACTGCAGTTTACGTACTTCGGAGAGTTACAGCAGCAGCCCATACTCGTGACCTTGTGCCGTTTGACGTGACACCTGACACTAAGTTGTGTGTATAGCCTGATTTGGCTATTTATCCCAAAAGTCTCTACTCCTTGAGTTCCTGGCGGACAAAGGGTGGAGTGGGGCCGAGAACTCCAATTCCAAATATAGATTCGACCTAAAACAGTTCACTTTGTACCGGTGAATTAATTAAGACAACAGAACCCAAAATGGTGTTCAGTCCTTGTTGGTGCCTGGGCTTTGACAATCAGTGGACGCACAAGAACCAAAAGGTTGAAAAGGAAATAGTTATATTACTAGTTGTCACTTTTGCGTTGGCCTTACTTCTATCCAATCTCAACATCATGGCGACTTCAGCAAAGTGGGATTCGCGATACTCGCATCCCGTACCCCACACAAACACATACTATGCTAAGTGCATGCTGGGTGGTATTCTGTCATGTGGTGTTACCCACACTGCGATCACACCTCTTGATGTAGTCAAGTGCAACATGCAGGTCGACCCCAAGAAATACACAGGTCTGTTGCAAGGCCTCAAGACCATCGCAAAGGAGGAAGGTACCTCAGCCTTGTTCAAAGGTTGGGCTCCTACCGCTCTAGGTTACTCAGCGCAGGGTCTATGTAAATTCGGTTTCTACGAGTACTTCAAGGATCTCTACAGCACCATGGCTGGTGAGGAGAATGCGTTCAAATACCGTGGATTCATCTACCTGGCCGGATCTGCCAGTGCTGAGTTCTTCGCTGACATGGCTTTATGTCCTATGGAGATGGTCAAGGTTAAGGTGCAAACATCTGTTCCCGGCACCTTCCCCACTTCTTTGGGACCTGCCATGGCTGCCCTGAAGTCCGATGCTGGTTCACGTTTCCCCTTCGGTTCGCTCGTACCTCTATGGTCTCGTCAAATCCCTTACACCATGGCCAAGTTCTTCTTCTTCGAGAAGGTTGTCGAGGCGTTCTACACCTATGTCTTCGTGGAGCCCAAGGATACCTATTCCAAGTCCACTCAGCTCGGTATTACTTTCGCATCTGGTTACTCAGCTGGTATCATCTGCGCCATTGTTTCTCACCCCGCTGACTCGCTTGTGTCCCTAATGGGTAAGCCCAGCAACAAGGGCAAGTCTGTTGGACAAATCGCTGGTGAGGTTGGATTCAAAGCTCTATTGACCAACGGTATCGGAACTCGTATCCTCATGATCGGTACCCTAACTGGTCTTCAGTGGTGGATCTACGACTCCTTCAAGGTACGCTTTAATAGCATCATCTTCTGTGCGTCTTTCATTTTTGTCTGAATCCGATTTAGTTTTTGTTGTGTTCTTGCTGGCGTATTCGTGTAAATCACTTGAAGTCACCTGTGATGGTATTATTAGAGGTTGTACCATGCTGTCTCGAATACTGTTGCTCCATCACACCTTGCTACATGGGATAGATATTGAACATTTCATATATATTGAAGAAATATGAAACCTTGTTGAGGAAGTATGCGACGTTAACTAAACTTTATCATTGTATTTCTACATAGGTTGCTATGGGTATGGGATCAACTGGAGGTGCCCCCCCTGCTGCTGCCGCCGTCAAGGCATAAATGCACTACGTGTGCACATAATCTGAGATTGAAATGCGATCAACTGGAGGTCTTGCTTGATTGTTGTACATCTTGTCACGTGATGGACGATCGTTCGAAGCTGGGACAGTGTGCTGTCGAGATAGCCAGTATCTACCCGATAGTGTATCGGGGCCAATTATTATTAGTTAAAAAGTGCATAAAACAATGCTTTCGAATGGTAATTTGTATCAATCTTTGGTGTTCAATTCTAGTAATATTAGTATCCTTTGATACATAACCATGTATATAGGTAGGGGCTGATGAAACTGAGCAAGATGTGTTCAGTTGAGGTTTCTATTAGCAAGATTGGTCGTCTCTTTGCATGCGTTAAATGTAACTACATTTACAATAACCGATAGTATCATTCTCAGTTCAATACAGTCAGGGTTTCGCACACGTAGTTATCCAGCACCTGTTTATTGGTAAACGAGTCATTCTTCAATCTTTTGAACGAGATTGTTTGACATAATTGAATTAATAACTTGTAGCGTCGTAGCGATTGGTCGTCTGGATGCGTGCGTTACTTGTAACTACCTTTACAATATTCTATAGTATCATTCTCGGTTGAAAACAGTCTGGGTTTCGCACACGTAGTTATCCAGCACCTGTTTATGGTAAACGAGTCATTCTTCGACCTTTGAGATTGTAATAATAACTGAGATATGCTTTGACGCATAGTTATATAGGTATTGTGAAGGTGCTGGCGTTGCTTATAAATTAAGTGCCTTTTACATTCTGATTCAACTGTGTTTGGCCGTTCAATCTAGTTACATGTTTGTTCAAAATGTAGTTAGACGAGATTTAGAAATACACTTAAGCAGTGTTGACCTTAACACTTTGCCAGTATTGTCCAAAAGTACTAATCACAAGTAACAGTTTAGCTGTACTATGCTTTGTCCGACTGGGCATATGTATGTACAAGTATAGGATATACATAGGACTATTGTTGCGCAAAAAAAATCAGAACAGCATATACGTGCCACGCTATTTATCGGAAGTGATATATATAGGCCAAAATCGCGAAAGTATTGCTGTACCAGCGCTTACATGCACTTATTTAGGGTGGGTCGTGATGAAAATACACGTTACAAAGTCTATTGCTTGAAGACATGTTGCAAAAATCTACTGCACGAAATTTCATAGACGAGAGTGGCGGTGAGGGTCTCCAGCGCTTGTCGCATAGGGACATCACGATA